ATCTTCTGTTTGGTTCTGGTAAATTTAAGTTGAAAACAAAAAGGAACCCAGAAAAGCAACACAGAACTGGAACAATGACTATATTAGGAAATTTTGGAAGAACCGAGATGGCCTCTAAATTGAGGAAGGAAACTAAAGGATATAATGGCAGTAATATACAAAATAATGACTGGCACAGAATTATTTTTCCTAATTATTTTTCCTAATACCTCACTTCTTCTCCTACTACAAGGGAAGAAAAAAAAAATAATAATCACACACGCGCACACACACCACACATGTGTTTCACTCAGTAATGAAAGTGGAAGAAGAAATTTGTAATTAAAAATATTATGCTTAACTAACTCATAAGGTACAATCAATCATTGCAATAAAGACTGAAAAAAATCTGACTACATATTTACGTAGGAGTTAACACCAATAATTTCCCTATGTAGGGCTAAAGCATGCATGGCCTACAACCCACCTTCTTTCAAAGCTTATGGAAGACCAACTAATACGGTCTAGGGAAAAAAGAAACTTCCATTATAGGCTCCTCTATAACCCACTGCACAGTTAGGGGGCAGAGGGGAAGGGGGTTAATTTATCTTACTCCATTGTGTCCAATATTGACTGTTCTTGGGCACAAGATGTCAGATTAAACGGACCATTTCCATTCCTGGCCTTCAATCAAAATTCTTCAAAAATTGTGAATTTTTAGCTTATCCCTTACTATAGCTGCCACTGAGATTCTCTCGATATTTGTATTTCAGTTATCTTTGGACAGGCATAAAAACAGTAACTTTATTTTTAGCTCTGGTAAATGAAAATTTGAACCTTCAGAACATTCCATTCCTCCCGCAATTAAATGATGAAAACAGAACTAAAACATAACTCTCAGATCATGCATTATTCGGGCACTACTTCATTACTTTAAAAATGAGATTTCTACAGTTCAGTGACCATTTCCATGCTGACATCCTTGAACAGTTTCAAAACTTGAAGGTCTCTTTGTCAGCCAACCATCTCTGTTAAAACTGTATCAAAATGTCAAACTCTTTACAGACACTGCATGATTTTCCTTCATCTCCTGTATTTGAAGTATTTGAAAGCTTAACCTTTTCGGGACAAAAAGTTAGTCCTATCAAAAGTGCCAACGTTTCAATCAAATCATGTTTCCTCATGAAATAAGAAACACTGCAAACCAATTGCTAAACAACTAAGGGCTTTCAACAACAAATGTCAGAAATGTACTTACAAACCTTTTGTGCTAAGTTTCAAAGCTCTTAAAAATGAATAGAAGGTTGTATTCCTTTTTTCATTTTCTGTAATGTCTGGATTTAATAGAAGCTTTTTTCTAACAAATTATGAATGACCTCCCATGCAGACTCTAAAAGGATCTACAGAGAAGGTACAGTAGGGATTGTGTATATACATACTGTTGATCTTCATGCACATTTATCCTGCAGCATAATGTTAAAATAAGTGATAACTGAAGAGATTTGGAAAAAAAATTACAAAATCAAAATTATAAAAATAGAGAATTGCAGTTTACTTTCAATCACTTTCCAAGAGTATCTACCAACAAAGCATAAGAAAACACGTTAAACTTGTAACTATTCCTTGAAATTTTCGTTCTTATATTTAAGTAAAAATATTAAGGACTTTGGTTCACATATTTCCATTACAAGATTTAACAAATTTTAAATAAATACAGTACGGATAGTCTCATTATTTCAATCAAAATGCTGCTGCCTTATTAATGAAGAGGTCTCATGATCCCACAATCCACAATGGCTTAAAACAAATATGCCTAGTAAAAACAAAAAACCCAAACGAACACAAGAACACATAAGTCAAACCTTACCCATTCTTGAAATACAGAACGTGTGCTCTTTGAAGTCCTGTTTCCAAGAAAAAGCCAAGTTCTTGTTCCTGTGCAGCAGGCCCTGGCTTAGGGCTCCTGTTTTGTATATTGGTATTAATCAACTAAGGGAAAAAAAGAAGTAAAATCGTATTTAGAAAAACAAACAAACCAACCCAGCAAGTCCCGTGAATTTTTACATGTAAGCTGATTCCTTATGTTGGAGAAGTCTTTTTTTTTAAATTGTAGGCAGCTGACAGCAGAATATTTCAATATTTACCTCTATTCCAACTTAAACACAAGTTCTTTTTCTCTTGGCTATACCTTTAAAGTTAACTTCTTTGCCAAGCAGAATTACCTCCAAGAAAAATTTTGTAAGACATTTTCAGAAGTTTATGTGAAGAACGGTATTCAGAAGTAGTGGATGACAAAACATTTGCAGCCATATTCAGTAGCAGGAGCTGCTAGTACTCAAAACCTAAAACCCTTTCAAGTTAGGAAAGTCTGCTGCAGAAAACACTAAGCTTAAAAGTGATATCCAGAGAGGATTTCCAAAAAATAATTTAAAAACAAAGTAAGTTAATTTTTATTACATTAACCTTCTAAAACTGCTCTCTCAAACTGGAGAACTTCAGCTTTCATATGCCTTCATAGTCATTAAACTACTGTCTCTCAGTGGCTGGCAGGATGTAACAAAACATACAAAACAAAACAGAGCAAAGAAAACACAGAAAATAGAAAAGCCTCACATCACTTGCAGCCAAAACAAGATAAGAGGAAATGAACTGCACAAACATACTTGCTCTATTTTAAAAAACTATGTTGGAAGATAACAAAGCAACAAACGATTGGCAAATCAGCACCTACCCAACACTTAGAGCTTTTTAAATAAAGGTGTCAGTGCAGTTTGCTCAGAGACAAAAAAAATCACAAAAACAAAACAAAAAACCCACAGAGCACAAGCTGACACACATACACACTGTGGTTCCTTGCAGCTACTGCTAGAACACTTTGCATTTGTGAAGACCTCTACATGAGCTTCTTTCAAAAACTGTTATTTCTTCACTTTTGTAATACAAGGAAGATACAAAAAGACAAGACATTAACATTCTTTCAGTTTCAGGAAAAGGAAAGTAATCGTTTATCAAAACACTTGTTTTGGAGGAAATTTGCTTTTTGGAGAAGAAATACATAGCTTCCTGCCTAAAATGTTAGAGGATAAACACCCCTAACAAGACATCTTCTTAAGTACCAGCTTTCTCAAACAACTGTATAGATATGGTGATCTGGCAAAAGTAGGACTAGACTGCCACCATCGAGTTCAGCAGACACAAGAGGAAATTACTTAAAGTAGAAGAAATTACTTAAAGTTTGGACTGCATACTTTTATACATGGTCCCTATAGGATAGCTCAAATGCTCAAATGCAACTGGAGTATTTCCAGTATTGCAGATATTGTTGGGTAGATGCTTCCATCTCAGATGTGTGCAGAGGGAAAATTCACAGATTTAGAAATAAATCCTAAATTACTCATCGCAAAGCAAAAAGTGCATTATATTGCAGAGCAATAAGCACAGAAATATAACCAAAGGCATTAGAGAATAACTTTCTCTGGTTGCCCATTGTGAGTTGACTATACAGAAGTTATTCCATTGAATGTAATTTTGAGCTGAAAAACACCAAGTCTTCTGTCTAACTCCAATGGAAACAAAGCCCAGAAGCACTCTCTCTGTCCTCCCTTGCTTTTCAGCTGGACAGGAAAGCAACAATAAATTGAATGTACATTCTCACCAAGTAAAAGTAAGTCAAAGTAAAAAGAGCTCAACTGTGAAAAAATGTAAGTGTGAGTATAGCAACTTAAATTATATTCAGTAGTGTGGGTTTGTGCACGCAGTATTAAGGCTTCATAAAGCAGCTCTTTTTTTTTTTTTTTTTAAACATGGTAATAAACAAACTCATTGGAAAAGAAACTGTAAAGCTTTACAGGAGGTCATCTTTGAATTTTAGGGAGATTGGATGATCAAGTTCAGTAACTTCCTATAAAACTAGTCTTCTTGACAGCTAAGGAGTTGTACTTACTAATTTATAGCTAAACTCCATGACAGAATAGTCAGTGCTAATTAAAGTTTTGTTATATTCTCTAGGATTTGGGAGTGTGAATGAGGCAACTTCCAACTGGGGTGGGAACTCAATTTAAAGTTGCTGTGAAAACAAGTTTTAATTTCTCCAAGGTGTTTTGGTTTTGGAGTTTTATTATTTTTCTCTTTTGAATTAGTGAGGGAGGAAGAACAGGAAGAAGGGAAAGGGGGATTTACATAGTCCTTTAAGGAGAGATCAAAGCTCTTACAAAAGATCCCCCACCAATTAAAAGTATTCCTCAAACATATATTCAGCAGTTATTCCAACAGAGATTAAACAGGACTTTTACTGAAGAAACATTGTTAATTTTTTTCATCTCTTAAAAATGTGCATTTATTTAAAAAGCAACATGTATGATTTTTTTTTCCCCTTCACATTAAAGTTTTCTTTCCCCGTTTTATTGTTTGTGTCACCCTATCTTTGTACCTAATGAGGACTACATCATCACACTGGATCAGGAGCTGCAGTTCTTCTGACCCTTCTGGCCTCAAGCAATTCCTCCCTTGGAGATTCCTAAGAAACATCATTTCGACCTATTTGGGTGTTCTTCCCTCAGATCTTTAGATCCTTCTGTTTAGTGAAATTCTGCCAGTTCCCTCAAGCTCTGGCTCTGTGTTTTAGCAATGTACAAAGCTTTTTTCACCGAAATGCACATTTTAATGAAGTTATTTTAGATTTACAGTAGGATACTCAAAATCAGAATGGGGAATAAAATAGTTCCATGGACAGGGATAAGCATCACCAGAGATGCGCAGGCCAACATCATCACTTCAGCAGAAAATGTCAATACACATGCTGTTAGATTCAGATGGTTAATTACTGAAATCTAACCTTAAACTTTATGGTTGTACTAATATCAAACTCAACAGACTATTTGTATGTTAATAGCAACTACTGGATGAAACGCTAAAGTTCTAAAATGCCACTGTACATTTCTCAAGAGATTTTCTTATTGAGCACACGCATATTTCCTCCTCTGCTTCACAGAAATAATTCCATGCTTCTCCCCTGTTTAAGAAGGAACATTCTTCCAGATTTTTTTGCCCAGCTTACTGCATGCAGAGACTTCTCACTGCCCTCAAAGAAGAGAAGTCCACTGACCTAAGCCACTCACTCCAACTTAAGAATTTTCTGGTTTAGCTGCACACATCCAAACAGTATCAGTGGAGGCTCCAGATGAGGCTGGTCACAGCAATTAAGGCCTATGTGCACTCTGAGCACTGACACTATATAGTCTGAGCCAAAGGTATGCTCTAGTAAAATTGACCTTTCTCCAAACTGGCCTGCTATCCAGACAGACAGTATCTCTATGGAGATGGCAATGCCCTTCAATATTCAAGCCACTTGCTATGTCAGGAATTCTAGCCTCAGAGACATGGAAGTTTATTAAAACAAGAAATAAAATAAGAAATGAAGAAGTGCACACCGACATTGATTCCACAGTTTCTGCTAAATTCTGAAGTCATCTCTGGAAAAAAAATTGTTTTTAAGTGTAACCATCCAGAAAGAATAGAGAGAAAGGCTGGTTAGGCATAAGGACTTGGATCTCCCTTGTCTTCCTGGGACAGTCACTGCCACCAGGAATAACCTTTTCAAGGAAAACTGCTGAATGGCAGGCCTGAGGACTGCAACCAATAGGTTCATATCCCACTAAGAAACAACACGTTTGATAAGTCTTAACCAACCCTTAAGAGCCAAGGATAAAAATGCACAAGCACAAATTGACCATCTCTCACTAGATCCTCCACTCGCCATGAGACACTCCAGGATAAGTAGGATTGGGTTTAGGAGAAGACAGAAAGACATGCTCAGTCAGGTAGGCAAACTTTCTCAAGCCATCTTGACCAAGAAGGATCTCACACAGGAGGAGCAAGGCAGTTCTGATGAGAGAGTTGTTCAATATCTAAGCTGTGACCTGAAGATATTGACAGTGGGATGACATAAGGCTCCAAAATTGCATGTCAACTGGTCATGCAAGAAGGGTACAGACCTAGGTCTTTCCAATGAGGCATGAAAAAGGTTCCATTATCACAACTTAGATTTTCATTCACTAGCTTCCGGGGTTCCTGTGATATGAAGTCTGCCTCTGAAAGGAGATTAACACTCAATACTGTGGTAGCATGTTCAGCTTTTTTCCACAGTTCCCTTATATAGAGCTCTAACTCTAGTTTTGTTGCTCAAGCTTCACAAGACAAGCTAAATGAGTGTGTGGGCACCAGAAACTTGAACCTACAATTTCTTCAGGCCTTCCAACCTTCATAGGAAGCTCTAGGGAGCAGGAAGTTTTGAATTGCTCAAAAGTGGAAACAAGGATGAGATCTAAGTCTGTTCTCATTCACAGATCAGCATGTTGAGAAGCAAACTTAGGAAGGAAGGACTGAGGACAAATAAATTCAGTCTTGGCTGACAAGAAAAAAAAAACCTTTTTGTAATTGCTGTTCACGCTTTCAAATTAAATCAAAAACTTGAAAGAGTGACAAATGGACCATTTATTTGTCATTCACCCAAATTAAAGAGGGAGCTGAGAGAGTCCACTATTGAAATTCTGCAACTTGAAATTCAGTGAGACGATACAAACAACTCCTAGAAAGGTTACTTCTGCAATGACACTCATTACAATGGGAAATGTAGCAGTACTGGTAAAAAAGCCCAGTTTAACTTTATAATATGGCAGAAGAACAGAAGAGAAAGCAACCGGAAATTTAACGTTTTAACAGTCAATGAAGTAGTCAACATTGCTAAAAACTCAATTTATAAAATAAAGAAACATGCCTTCTGTGTCTGCAATTTGAGAGAAGATGGGAAGGTGCAGGGCATTAGGCACATATTTGCTGAGTAGAAGACAGAAAGACACGAGCACGCTTTAGAGAAAGAAATCCCAAGATACTGGTTCCAGAAATTCCAAGGCATTGATACTCCAAGCTAACAATTCAAAAATTTGCAGTCAGTTGGTATGGTTCTTCTTTACAGTCACCTGTAGTAGTAGTGGCCTTTACACCTCAAGCGTTAAGCTGGTTACAAATAAGAAAACTAACTTTAAACTCTCCGTAACTCCTTTATCTATAAAATGGGGAAACAAAGAAAATAGTAACTTGCCTAAGATTCTGCAAAGGTGTTTGTAGGTTACGTTTTTCTCTAACATCACAAAACTCAGAAATACCAGCTACCATCAATAAAATACAGGTCTCCAACATACCTAAGTACCTCAGCTTCTCGAGTAACTTTCTATTCATCCTCAGTGCTTTTCACTGTATATAAAGTACAGCAATTTTGGAGTTTAGATTCAGATGCAGACAAATCTTTAGGAAAAAAATCCAAAAAATATTGTAGTTGTACTCTTACAATGAGTAATACAGCAACAAGCTAAAACTGCAAATGGACTATTCAGTCCAAGAACACCTTTTCACCCAGTGCACATACCTACTGAAAATCTTCAACAGTTTTGGGAACAACACTGAATTATACAAACAATACTGAACTGTTTTAGATCTAGAGCATACAAATCAGAAGAGTTATCAATACCAAGTATTCAATTCAGAAAAATGACGAATTTTCCTTCTGACATTGCCTATGCAAGATAAAGCAGTAACAGTTAGCTTCATAAACAGTGCCTTTGTCATCTGAAGCTTTTTGGTAGTTGGTACTGGAAGAGCCTCTTTACTCCTGGGTGAAGGAAATAATTCCCCCTCCCCCAGCCCCCAGGGAGGGAGGTAATTAATAAAATTTTGAAATGCTGTAAATCATGCAAAGGCAGATGAAATCGAACATTCAGACTGATCCCATTTAGAGAACCATTCAAGATTTATCTCATTACAACTACATCTGTGTTTTAAAATCATTGCTTTATCTGGCTATCATATCTGGTAATTTTTTCATTGTCCCAGGACTGTGCCTATTAATTGAAGTGAGTGCACTTCCAGTTATTATTCTTGCTGCACCACTGATATGTCAAGACTCTTGCTGAGGGACACAAAGTTATTTCAGGATTTTATCTTCAAGTAATTTTATAAAAAGGATCTAAGAGCAGTTAAATCATTGGCTCCAAATAAACATAAACAGGATCAACTTTTCATCTCTGCTATTTACATGTGCTCGTATCATTCTTCACCTTTTCACAGATGAATTTTTAAAAAAAAATAGTCTTTTAAGTTTTAAAACGACTTTTTAAGTATTACCTGAAGAGCTACATGTACCCACATATACAACATGTACATATTGAGAGATATCTTAATCCCACGTTCATAAATGAACTACCACAGGGTAACGAGAGGCCACAGATCAGCATCCTGAATGCACATAATAGTTTAGAGGAGCTTTGTCCCTTTTGAGACTACTGGCACTATTTTCCAGAGGTCGGAAAGCAAGAGCAGTCATAGTGATAGGCACTAGACATGAGTTAAGTCACACCAATTTACTGCCCAATAATAAGCGTGCACTGAAGTCCTAAGGAAAAATATCTCAGACATTATCTTTTAGTTGAACACAAAGATACTGGTCACATGACATCCATGAAAGATGATGAACCATGCAATTCTTCAACTAAGAACAACAAATTATCCCAGCTTACCCTTTCTATCTCCTGAAGGTACAAGAGAGCAATATCCCCAGCTTTCTCATAGCAGGTAACAATTTCTTGTTCACGGTCCACATGGAGGTTGCTGGCTGAAGAAGAAATTGGCAACTTCTCAAGACAGAGACCTGAGAACAGAACATTTTCAAAAGGAGCATTAAAAACTAATGTCATATAATACTACATTTGAATAATAATCCAGACTAAGCCCACCTTTGATCAGGAGAAGAAACAAAAACAAAAATCTGCAACAAAACTTCAGAAGGTACGCTCCTCTAAAACGGACAATACAAAAAATGAGGAAAAAAAGACAAATCCTCCTCTATTAAGACAACAGAATAAGCAATTTTTAGCAATTTTAAAAGGGTATTAAGGCAGTCTACACAAAATGCCAAGAGCACTTCTGTACTAGTTTTTCAATTACTGAATACAACTTCACTTTTCCAGCGCGATCACAGAAACCGAGGCAAGATGAGGAAAGGCACTCAAGGTAGTATCCTAAATTTACTCACTGTGCAAAGCAGATGCACCTATAAGAACGCATACGTTTTCCAGAAATGAGAGTTCAGAAAATGTAATTTTTCATATTTAAGGCTTTTGTTAATCAATTTCCTCCTTTCAGCTTTCAAATATATCTCACCACCCTTTTACAACAGACCTGCGGCATTCTTTACATTACTCATCACATGTGTTATTTGTCAAATGCTCATTCAATGATCAATGAACTGTTTGCTATCTATTTACCTTGCTATTTAGTTCCACTCAGTAAACATATGATTAATAACACGTTGAAATAAAAGAATTAATATATCCTCTGCAGGTGGAAATCACTAAGTATCTGTTGGCAAATAACAATTCCAATATTTTTTCTGTTGCAAAGATAACAATCAGTACAGCTTCAAGAATCCAGACATGACCCTTATTCTTTTCTGGTCTACTTTGCTAACGAACAGGATGGGAGAATGAGGTACTGAAAAACGGCTATTAAATTGCCTTCCATACACACCTTCATAAGGCATTGAGGGCAGACACAGCACAAGATATCATGCACCCAGTAAGTGCTTTAAGCCGTAGGATAGCCAGGAGAAACTGCTGGGACAGATATCCATATATATATATATCCATGTCCACAAAACAACTCTATACAGTCAACTTTATGTACAGTCAACTAACGTAAGACGTATTTCTCTCCTATCAAGGTGAAGAAGTCTTTTTGTCTCAGGCCTTTATTAGACGGAGCCAATAAATATATTGTCTGGAGCTATGAAGACAAGAAAACGTTTGCCTAAAAACAAAACCCAATGCTCACTAATCAATACCATCTCCTAGACAAGCCACTTCCATTACAGTTATTTTCAAGATGTTTAGAGAAATGTAGCTGGAAAGGACCGAGACCACTAACCTATCTATCTGTCCCAGGTATCAACCAACCCTGACAGATGCTGATCTAATCTGTTCTTAAAAGCCTCTCACAATAGGCATACCTTGGCTTTCCTATGCAATTTATTATAGAGCTCAACTCTTCCCACCATTAACATTTTTTCCTCTTGTCCAAGTCTCCCTCCCTAGATTAATGACTCCTAGTCCGTTTCAGAGATATTATTCCCTTCTTTACAAAATCCTTTTTCAATATTAATCTAGGGAAGGAGAGACACTGTTGCAATAAGGACAGTCAGTTCTCACTTCTTTCTCGTATCATGCTTCCTTGACAGCTAATCATTTTTATCTAATCATTTTTATCTCCTCTGGACTTTCTCCAATCGGTTACATCTTTCTCAACTCATGGTGCCAAAACTAGACACACTGCTCCACCTGAAGCCTCAACGACACTGAGCAAAACAGATTGTTTCCTGTGTTTTATACTTATTTTTATGGAAAGCAGCACAATGTTAGTGCCCTTTTTTGTGTAGAAGCTTCTCTTCTGTTTATGATTTGGCACAGATCACCAGATTGTAGTCCATGAAACAACTGCCTCATCAGTAATGCCCATCTTATACTTATTCACACAATTATTTGTATTTCAGACGTAGCACTTTCCACAGGTTCTTACAGATTTATTTTAAATCATTCCTCCACTTTGTCAGTAATTAATGTTGATCCAAAAGTGCCTGTAACCCCTCCTACATTGATATAAATCACAGTTTAAATGAGCATACGTAATTCATCATCCAAGGTTTTGAGTGTCCCTTCCTGAAAAAAAGCATATAGTGATATACAGGATAGATGTCTGTAGAATGCCATATAGTACCAAATCCCAGTTGGGAGAATAGTTTAATCAAGAGATTTCTGTCCATCAATGCCGTAAGACTGGGACAGCATGTTTCATTTGAATTACAATACTTTTCTTATTAAAACCCCTTGGAAAGACACAGCCATGGAATCTGGCATTTATTCATCAATGAAATCAAACAATTAAATATTTAAAAACTTCAGATTCTTTTAAAATATCAAGTTTCAATATCTCCCTATAGAAGTTACTATACCTCATCTATAGGCAAAAAATTAAGTCATATTTCTGGCTCAGGAGGATGCCTTAAGTCTGTATCAGATCACATTGGCCACCCTTACCCCCCAATTCATTGTTTTACCAGTACGAACAACTTATAACCTACACCTCTATTTGCTAGCTATATATCCGGTTAAGACAAAATCCCCAACTCCATTACTAATGGCTTCATAATAAGCAAAATAAAATTTAACATACTTTTTAAAAGCCTTTTCAAAAACTTTGAAGCACAGCAGACAAGTAGACTATCTCTCAAAAAGCTGCTAAATCTGAGTATGGACACCAGACTTTCCCGATGTTGTGGTTTTAACCTAGCATATTTCTAAAAATTAACTGCATATGAAAAAAGTCTAGAGTAATCTCTCCTAATATGCTTTAATTTTCCATGAAATAGCTACTATTCCAGTGTTTTTCCTATGTGCCATAGAATCAGAAGCAGCAAGATTAGACTATACAAAAAGGTCCGTTATCCTGCTGTGAAAGTAGCCTTGAACTGATCTGTTCATAATAAGATCTAAATGTACAGTTGATGCCATCTAGAAAGTTTGCAGCGTCCTACACAAACACTTTCAAACTCAGAGGTGACCATACTCTACAATAAACAAGCAGCAGTAAAAAGATCAAATGACTAAAAGCATCAAATAGTTGGTAACTGGATCGCTCCTCCCCACCCCTTCGCTCCCATGACACAAGCAGCAAGTACCCGAAAGCGATCTTCCACTACATATTACTCAGCTGGCTATTTGAGGATTTGACTTGGATTTATTATTTCTATTTTTATACTTTATGGCCACAATAACAATCTTTTAAACTGGAAAGCTCAATATAAGAACATTCTCTCATTTTTGGCTGAGAATTTTCATTAAAATAGGAAACATCAGTGCTCTTCCAGGAACTTTGTTAGAATTTTGTACTTCCCTTTGGCGTTATTTAAGAGAGTCCTTTCATTAGGATATACTATTTCTCAAAGCAACTTTAATACACATTTAGTACTCACTGCACTTTTGCTGATGTATTTATCACAGCATATGAAAGTATGCATATTTTAAAGCATGCAACACCTCAGAGCAGGAAGTTCACCTGAAGAACTATCCTGAACCCACCACTGAACAGGATGGTTCAGACACCATCACAACCAACCAGAAATAACGTAGAAGAAAACCCCCAAGTGATGATTTCTGAAATAGGATAAAATCAGAGTCCCTTCAGATTCCAGACTATCCATCATCCATTTATTTTCTTAACTATATTAGCTGATAAAGCAATAGAATCCACTGAAGTCCCTAGAAGCATTTTTATTTGAAACAGATACAACACAGCAATATAGTAGTAACAACCACATAATATACTGCTTGCTGCTTCCCAAGAACACTGTGAGATGATAAAAAGTGACTTGAAATAAGGGATTATTAGACTAGTATCTTGAAAAAAGAATAAGCAAGAGGTAACACGCAGAATGGAGAATCACATAAATTTTAAAGAAATATGTATCATCCTCAATTACCTAAAGACTTCTGTATATACTTGGACAGGTCAGTTCTTCCCTTTGTGCTTGCTCCCGCACCTGCAAGGCAGGAACCTCTGCTTTTTCCCCCACCCAAGAATGACAGATTTCTAATTTACAAACATCTTGGAGATACTGAGAAAAGAGATGCAGGTTACTGCCATGAAATATTACTGTATGAATGTATAGGTTATAGCTACTGGTTTATTCAGTCTTTATTAATATTTCCTCTAATTACACTCTGTATTCCAGCATACCAAACCAGTTGCTATCACAAAATTAACTTTGAGATTTGTGGCTTTTAAGTTTAAGCCCTTCCCAATCAAAATCACCTTGAAGTAAAAGCTTCCAACAAACTGGGTCAGTTTTATTTTGGGAAGACATTTATCTCATACATATCTAGTCCTGATATCAAGCAAGATGACTCCTGAGAGGAAGGAAAGTGAGAAGCAGTGAAATGAATACGAGTCCACACCACTCGAGCTTACATGTTTTGCAAAGCAACTCTAAAATTGCTTGTCAAAACAGAAGAGAACAGCAACAAACAGTACCCGGACAAGAAAAGACTATGTGTGATATCCAAATCACCTGATAACTGCCAAAGGTTTTCTTTAAGTCTTCCAAAACTTTATAAACTATTCATATTTTGTAAAAGATTCAGAAAGCAAACAGTGGATAATTTTACCATTTATTCCCAGTAGCATTCTCATGACTATGGTCTCATATACGTGCATTTTAATTAAAAATGATCAAGATTATGCCAAGTAAACTTTCATGTTTCATAAAAACAATACAAAAGCAAACCAATCCTACCACCACACACCCACGCACCGAGCACTATGCAGCAAAGAGGACTCCTCAGTAAGAACGAGCAACGAAGTAACAGTTTTTAAGCGGTCCCAGTGAAACAGATTTGTTTATTCCTAAATAAGAAACAGCTTTTATGTTAAAGACAATGACAATAATTACTTTTCATTTATAAACCACTAAAACAAAAACAAATCCCCCAAACTGTAACTTCTGCAGGAAACCAGATTAACAAACATCCCCATTCCATTATGCAGGCAGAATAAAACAAATATTACTCAAAGGTCAAAAGGCCACAGCAGGGCTCACAT